TCTCTCGTTGTCAACCTGTATGCGCTGTGCCCTTACTTTTTTGTCTTTCTTCTCTCACCTCCCATCCTTTTTTTTTTACCCTTGCATTACAATACTATGCGGGCTATAGGCTACATTCTGTAAGCGTACATGGAAAGCCAAGCGTGTTGTGATTTGCTGTCCATGTGTATTATTCTATTTGTGCCCAAAGCCGGAGCGACAAAAAGGATGCTTGAATAGTTGAGTGGTTCAGGCGCCCGCCCGCTCTCGCCTTCGCATCGCTGGCATGCGGGTTTGAGTCCCCGCTGCTTCATCAAAAATTTTTTCTTTCGAAAGTTTCGCTCTTTCTTTCGAGGTAGAGGAGCGATTAGGAAGAAGTATATTACCCACCCCCCCTTTTGAGGAAAGTTCTATTAGTTTGGATGCCTGGCCACAAGGACTGCTTTTAAACGAAATCGCTGATGCTTTAGCGAAGTCAATAATAAGTGGGCCAATTTTACCGCCATTTCCTAATATCGTACTATGACGGTTGTGCGATTCGCAGGAGTAACATCACGCAAAGTTTGCAGAGGTACAGCGTTTACAAAATATTCCACGGAATATCACCACTTATACTATTTTTGGCGCTGGTCATTTTCTGAAACACGTAAACTTAAAGTGGCAATTACGAGGCTGCGTTGCTGGTTCTTAAACGAACTTTACTACCAACACAGGCCTGGTCTGGCTTTTTCTTCAATGTGTGCTCTGTAGGGCCAGCTGGAAACTGTAGGTTTTTTTTTTGTTAGGTGTAGGCGATTTCAATACAGTAATTTACATGCTATTGGGTGAATTCGTTCATGCCCGTGATTCTGTCTTTTGGAACCTCTATTTATTTGTTCACTAGTGCGAATGTTTGCGTCGCTGCGCAGAAAAGATTTGAATTGAAACGAAAAGACCAACAAATTATCTGTGTTATTACCCCTCCTGTGTCGACACATGCACAACTTTTATTTTCTTTATTTATGTTTTTTTTTAATTGTTCTCTTCATTTTTTAATTAGGGTGTTAATGTAATTATTATCTATTTCTATTAAGAAGACTTATATTTTGTACTCATAAGGGAGCATCAAAGTTTTATTGTAAAATGTGTAATGTCTTTTTTTTATTCTAATACTTCCATTTTCTTCTAGAATCTCCGACAGTTTATCCATAATACCACTTCGATTCCTGGCCGATCCTCACCGCAGGGGTATGAGCCAGAGTAGAAGGTGAACAAGAAGAAGAACTGTGTGTCCACGAGGGCAACAAGAACAACAAGAACAAGACATTTTATTCTGAGTTAAAAGAGCTTGGCTATTAAAACTGGCTTGGCTATGCGTCTGTGCTCAAGGTTTTCACTTTTCATGTGCTTACGTGGTCATCCGCATCAGTTAAGTGCCTGACAATGCCCCGATTCGGCAGCCAGTTTCATAAGAAGGCCGGGTCAATACCTTAGATCATAAACGACATTAGTTATCCGTGCTTTCTCAACTTCATGTTTGTTTGGGAGGTGTATTCGTAAAGAGTGTTCACCGGTTTCGAGACACACGTGTCGTCTACCTAGAACAGGGGTCAGTCAGCCTGCACCCACAGGACAATATATGAGGCCTCCCCAACACTGCATCGAAACCTTGTTATTCAGAGCAGTGCAAACTAACCAATAAACACGTTCCGACTGAATGGTGAACACTTCCACCTGCCTTAGCATCTTTCGGTGAGCAATCCTGATGCACCCTTATTCGCGAGAGTGCTAAGAATGTTCACCAAAAGTTTTATTGAAGGAGTGTTTTTTGCGTCTATTTGTGCTGCAACTTTGTTTAAATGCGTCCCTGCAGATCAGCATAGGGCCTATTTCAGTTTTGTGTATCGTTATTATCAATTCACCTACTTTTTTGTTCTTCCTCTGCAAAGCAGAGCGGCGGTCGTAGTTCGGCTGATGTAGTTTCCGGGTGGTTACCCGCGAAAATGAAGTCACTAGTTCACGGGCTGCTTGTATTGAGAGTGAAATATCAATGTGAAATTATTTGAATGAAAGTGAAATTATTGTAAATGTCGCAACTAACTGTGACGAAACAACGTAGTTTTTTCTGTGGTTCATCTTCTTTTCCTATATCCTGTTTTTGTTGCGTGGTTCACGATGACATTAGCGCTTTCGTAACCACCTTTCTGCTCCATGACTCCCGAGCTTTTCGAACCCAAAGCTAATCCCTAACACTTCATAGGCTCCATGAATCAAAAGTATGAGCAGGTAATTGTTAAAAAAAACTGTCAGATTTCACCTACTTTTCACGCCATCCAGGCGATCCAAGAAACTAATTAATTTTCGCTTTTCAGGTTAGCACGCAACCGTCAACTACAGGAAGCAATCGAGCGTGCTTTTCGTTTGCTGTTTTCATTGCAGGTGATAAGTGGCAGAAAAAATGCTTTCTGATTTCTCTTGAACTGAACTTGGGATTCTTTTCCGAGGTAACTCGGGCAGCGAGCACTCCAGAGATGTCGTCCCTTACTTTATTTGCCGAAGATTTGCCCAAACTCTGCGTTTGTGATAGGGCATCAACATTAAACCGATTTGTCAGCAAAACCAGCTCTTCGGTTATTCGATTAATCAGTTATTCGATTCGAAAACAGGAACAGCCAGATTTACCGGATATTCGGTTGGTTATTCGGTAATGATACCGTGATATTTGGATAACCGAATAACACAATTTTCATTTTGTAATGCTAGGATAAATATTCGTTTTTCTAGATCTCGTGTTTGTAGGGAACCATGCATCTATTTGTACAAGTCCAGTATGTGCTTTTATGGACGTTCTCAGATTGTTCATTTCTCTTAATGTGGGGACATTAGTAAGTCACTAGTGATAATGCCTGTTGAAAAGTAGCTAGTGATTACCCATTCACAAACTTTCTATTAGTTATGAATAACCTCAGGTGTGAAAGTGCATGCACAGTTTAAGATACGGAAGTCTTTGCATGGGGATTAGTGATTACGTCAGTAATGAATGAACGAGGCTGCGCATGTTGTGTGATTACGCATGCAATAGCACTTAAATTTCGAAAAGCTTTCAGCAAGGACTAAGTATTCGTTTCCTAATATTCGAATAACCGGGTGTACGTTCATTCAAATCAGATAAACAGGATTCCCATTTCTCTGAATACGGATGACCGGATAACCGGATTTCAAGGCCGGATTCGCTTTTCTGCGGTTTAACCGGATAGCCGGTTTGGCGGATACTTGCAAGATCTAGTTTGTGACCGTACTTTTGCAACCGGTATAGATGAAAACAATAATTGATGTGTACTCTTTCAGTTTACATCTAGCTTGAAATAGAAGGTGTGAAAAAGATAACCTGCTAAAAAGGCATGATCGTTTTTAAGACTGCACAAGGAAGGGATGCGCAGCAGAAGCTGCTTTGTTTCTGTCGCGCATCCATCCCTGTACCTTACGGCTTCATGAATGGTGCGTACTCATGCAAGGCTAAAGGAATCATGATAATAAATAGCTGCTAAACCATAAAAGATCGTATGTCGTCCACGGTTGTTAGTGGTATTGATTCAACAAGGCTCTGGGTGACAGAACAAAGTACTTAAATGTCTACTAGCGGTGTCCACTACACGTAATGCTTTCAAACTAAGAAATAAATAAGCCTATCGCGTAAGCTATTAAATGACAACTTATTGAAGAGCTATCTGAGGGGGCCGCACGCCTTCACACTTGTGGTATAGTCCTTTTTTCACGACGTCAGGACCGATATGTCCACAACCACCGTTTCTTCGGGAGCAATTAGCCGACTAAAATAAATACCACCCTTTTGAATAGCATATGAAAGTTGCCTTACTCATTCTGTAATACTTGCTCTAGAACAATCAGACTACAGTTGGCTGCTAGGTAAGCGCATTTTGGCGCTACCATTGTGGTTTTACTCTCTTATAAATGGGACCGACGATTAGCTTTTTTTTTTGTTTGCGCTTGAAAACTAAAATTACGTCTTATGTACGCCTGTCTAAGAAAGTTTCTATGCGTATATGTCTATACCTCCACCATGGGTGCGATTGATTAAACGCTTTGCATTGACATCAGTTGGTAAAAAATCTCTGGCACAAGAGCACGTTACTTATGTCACGTTTGTAACCATGCAATTGTCCAAACATTGTAATCAACATTTAACAATTAGCAGTACCAGCTACTTGCACACGAGTGTTGGCCCTGCCATTCATTATACGTATTTTCACATATACGCTTTGAAAGTTCAAATTGTTTACCACAACTTGCAGTAACAGTGGAAACAACCATACTTGTTCTGAAAGTCCTATTACATTTGATGATTCATGAGAGTGAGTGCAACTGGCACACGGATACAGATCAAACACACAATAGCGGCACCTTCCCGCACCCGAACGTTTTATTGCGTCAAAATTTGTCTCAGACAGTTGCCTTCATAACTACGTGGTGCTTCCTGATGAAATGTCATGCATCCACGTGTCCGATTAGCTTTCTTTATTCACACACTCTGCAACAAGCTTGAAGCATTCGCACATCATCGGCTGCGCGTTGGAAGGTGTAACATGCCTTCGATCGGGCACGGCCAACGTACCGAGCATGAGCTCGAAGGCATGCCATTTCTCTTTTATTTACAATATTTATAGAGTAGCTGCACCCGTGGCTCTAGAACAGAATGCTCTGTAGAACCGAAAAAATATATATATCTTAAACTTCGGTAATGTTTCGTCAAACATTTGAGACGTGCCTAAAGAACGCACCTAACGATACTGCATTTTGCTTGCCCCATTTTACACGGGCTGCATCTCCAGGTGGGTTCGGCTCTGCCACAAGAGGGAACGATTTCAGGAAACGAGACATCGGCTATTTATCTGTCAGTTATCGGAAACTCTTGTTGAGTGCTCGTAACGCCGCTCATTCTCCAACAAGTCGCATTGTTCGGCTCAAGAAAATACGTCCCGTAGGTTTAGCTGTGGAATAAGAAAATCTAATGTTTTTAACACCCATACCACAAGTCTTACCCCGTATTCACAAACGCTCCTCGACTCGACTTTCACCTTCACTTCACAGAGTTGAGCAGTGCGCCACTACTCGGTTGAAAATGACGCTGCGCTACTCAAGAATCGCAGCAGATTATCCTTGATATGCAGCGACTTGCCATTCATAGAGATGGCGTTCCTGTCGGCTTTCTCAAATGAAGGTGAAGCGTTGAGTGAAGGGACGTTCTAGATTACGCGGGTTAGCTTTCTAGCTCTCTTGAGAAACTCACTTCTGAATACGGTATAACTTTTGTTACAAAGAGACAACCAGTATGCAACAGTTTGAGTCTTATTAGGACGCCTTCTGAAGCCACGCAAGCATCCCCGTGAATTGGTGAATGCATGCATGCAAAGGCAGGTGTTATATGAAGACACCCTTATGCGTACGCGAGCACACATATGCCAACTCCGGACAACATGTCTTGCTGCATTAAAGAGCTTTCGAGTAATTACCAGCAGAGGGTGGGTCAGTGTGTGTCGTTTTGTCGAGATTAAGGCTACGTATCTGAAGCCTGTAAAAAGCTGAAACCCTACTGACGAGGCAGCCCGTATTTCTAAGCTCGCGGTAGTCGAAAAAAAAAAACGTCACAATATTGGGGAAAACAAGAGTTATAAGCGGCTTGTGCGGTGAAGTCGCGTGGGACTCGGTAAGAAGGAGCGGGACGCCAAAGCAGCTGGTCCAGCTGATGACGTTGTGGAGATTGTCTTTGAGGTGACTTTTCAATTCATCATTTTCTAATTGAAGAACACAGTGGAGCTTCTCCTTCGCAAGCAAAGAAGTTGGCGCCTGTGGCTTGGCGCGTTCTGTCCAGAGCTTGCACTGTGTCCACTTTGCATGTCCGAGGAATAGTGAGGCCTTCTTTTGGTTTTTTACATTCCGAGGTCGGCACAAGGCAGGACACTAGGAAGTCACATATAAGCCTTATCACAAATGCGTCCTTGTCAACACTGAAGATAACTGTGCCACTGGAACCGGGAGCAGTGGTAAGGTGAAGGCGACCAAGAGTACCACGAAGGCTGCTGGCGCTGTTAAGGTGGTAGAGGCGTCCCGCACTGTAATGTATGAAACATATTGGATGAGAGACAGAAAGAGAGTGCTTCGTGATAAATCCTAAAGATCGTTTAGCGCTATGGCTTAGGAGAAATTACAAAAAAAGTTGAGATGAAAAAATTGAACCTTGTCTTTATTAAACGTCATGTCACACACACTAGCACACATAAACTAATCTTTTCTATTTGCCATTCAAGCAACGTAAACGTCAACGCTGCTGTGCTGATTCGCACTGTATCCCTGAAAACTGTCATTTTGATTGCAGTTTCCCTTTCTCGCGTGATTTCCTTGTCTTCCAGTGGTTTCGGTGATATTTTGGAATCAGGAAAATTGTGAAACTTCTCCAAAGCAAGCCTTTTTAGTACGCCATCTGTGACTTTGATCGCAGAAGAGCTTCATTAGTTGATTGACACTTAGTGTTTGTCATGAAGCAACATGGAAAGACGAGCCAGTTGATGATGGTTCCTTCATACATATTATAGGCATTGTGACGGCAAGGACAAGAGAAACAACGACACGGTCACTTAGTCACAACTAAGAGTTCTACCGTTTGAAGATATAATGTGTACCTGGACTATACCCCACCACTAACACATCCGCACCATGAAAAAAAAATCGCCTGAATCTACATGTTACACTGTAAATGTCGTTGAAAGACGATAGTCTTGCGTCTGGAGAGAGTGAACAAAACGTTATATTCGATGTTCTGCGCAAGAAAATTGGTGAATGGTATTCTGAAGGTGCTGCGTTAGAGTGCCTCGCGTGTGTAGAGGAGGCGAACAAGCGCATCTAGGCACGTGAGATACAAGCGCCATCTGGCAGTTATCTTCGAAAACGAAGGCGTGCGTGACCACGGAGAAAGATGTGCGCCAGTCTTGGAGGTGATAAGGTGTAGAATTCAAAGCGACGGGCAGGTGCCACCACCGTGTCGTCGTAGCAAGGCGTTGGAAACACCTTGTTGAGCATCGCGTTGCTCTGTCAGCGCAGCGCGATTAACGCTACAGTCCCTAGAGTTACTTGTGTGTGTCTCTTCTAGTATAAAGGCAGACGTACAAAACATTTACTTGTTGCTATAGCGCCTCAGATATGCGCAATATGTTCTTTTTTTTAATTGACGATCACACGACTATGAGCGCTAATCCTTGAGCAATATTGGTGGGCGCTGCGGATGGGGTTGGCAGTTTAGTGTCGTTTGAAGTATCATTAGGACGGACAAACAGACAAGTGTACACAGACAGACAGACCAAAATTTTTCCGTCGAAGGTCCCCAAGAAAGACTATCATATTAAAAAAAAACAGATGAACGAATACTCGGGCGCCCTTTCCCTCGCCGTGGCAGCAAAAAGCGCTTCGCATGGGCACTCGGCGCAGGGCATGCACAGTGCGTTACTGGTTTTCCCTGCAAGGAAGACTGGTGCTCCTGTAAGCATATGTTCCCGCAACGGCCTGTCTAGCCAACTTACACATGTCCACAAGTCAGGGGGATACAATACGCGACGTTCGACCGACAAGGCACAAACCAATCTGTATCTGTGGTTAATAGTGCAACCACGTGTGCCAAGGCTGTTGTCGACCGTCGAATATAGCATATTGAGCCTCGTAATGGTGGAATCACCACTTTGAGCCCAAAGTTTTTAGCTGCCTTCTTCAGCTGATGTGCTAGCCCAGGTACGTATGGCATGACTGTCACTTTGTTGCTTTGATTGCTTTGATCCAGATTCTGGCTGCCAACACTAATGTTTTTATCAGCTTAGTAAGGCGCTCGTATGCTCCCTTGTATCACTGCGGCAGGAAAGGCTCATTTTTTAGACGATCTATTTGTTCAATGAAGCTCCTGGGAGCGAAATGTTGACATGGTCTATTGGCAGCTGATTTATGCATGCCTGTCATGTATAATGTGATTTCTCAGTTGTCATTACATGCACCTGCTAACACTAACACATGCATGCCCCTGCAGGTATGCCCCATGTGACATATACCAAGTTAATGAGACGACCATGATGGTTTCACCGCGTAGGCTGTGTTCCAGCTGAATGAATCAACTTGACCGCACCATGCCCCTTTACAAAGATTCTGCTTGCCTTACGTAGTGCGAAGGGCATTTCTTCTTCCCGAAAACATTCTCACGAGGAGGTCGACACTCGGCTACCTCACGCATGCTGCAAAAGAGTTCATACGCCAGTCTCTGTAGGGCGAGACACATCGGCGCAAACTACAACGGTATTGGTGAGTGATGAGAACAGTGGTCATGTTTACTTGGGCGATATGCCACGTGGCTGTAAAGCGTGTGACGTTTCCCCAAACAAAAACCAATGTGACAAGGTGATCCTACGTCCACTATCAGCCACACAGAAAACTCGCAACGTCGTGAAGAGCCTAGCGCTTTCTTACGCATCGAGGCAAGTGGCCACTACACATAGCTTTAGCCTGATGCCGTTAAGAACCTTTTTACGGAGAAGAAGGTTTCACCAACACCGACACCAAGTAATAAATGCATGCCAAGATATACACGTTTGTAGGCTCTTCATTTACGCCATGACGTGTTATTCAGCAGACAGGCATGTCTTGCCTTCTACATTTTTGTATATACGAAAAATTCTTGAACAGGTAAAACAACCACAGAGGCATCACGAAATAAAAGACGTCTCAAAAGCACTTGTGGTTCGCCACGACTGCTCTTCAAAAAAAAAGGACGTGTGCTCCATCCTTGCCTCGGCTCGTGTTCTCGCTGATATGGAGTCCTGACTTCTGGTGGCGGCCTCCCCCGGAGGAAGAGCCAAATACGAGCTCCTCGTTGCTCATGGTGTAGACTCGCGAGATGGTGGCGGTGCACTTGAGCTTCATGTTGCCGCCCCGGAAGTGGTCCTCGGTGAGCACGAAGCGCAGGCCGAGCGAGGCCGTCTCCAGGCCGTCGGCGTGCAGCGTGGTCGAGTACTCGGTCGTCCCGTCGGCGCCCACCACGGCCACGTCGTTCACGAACCAGCGCAGCGTGGCGGCGGGCTTGGACTTGGCCGAGGTGCAGTTGACGCTCACGGTGTCGCCGATGCGGTACTGCGCCTGGCCGCCCGTGATGCGCGGGCCCTCGGTCGGAAGTACTGCACGTGTTGTAAGAACAGCAGCATACATGCAGATTACGTAGAATAAGGGCTCCTGAAAGGCGCTTCATTAGTATAGGTTTTATTATATTGATTGTGAGGGAATCTGAATATTGGGGTGAAGGAAAGGACGAATGAGGTGTACTGAGACATGTCAATCGTAACGAAAGAGGAAGCGACATTGGAGGTGGCGCCTCCATTACACATAACGGGCTGTTTACCACTCGTTAGTTATGTGAAACTTGCAAGTTTGGTTTTCATTCACATATTTGCAAAAATAGCAATAGGTTGATAAAAATAACATCACAAAGGAGCAAGCAGTGCTCTGTTAATTTCTGTATTTCGTTATTCGTTTTCTCTCTCTCCCTTTTTCGCGTTTGTGCGCACATGTGAGTGTGCATTTGTATATGTGTGCGTTTGCTTAGAGATGTCATTTACCCATAAACAATCACACTTTGACTATAGCAAGATTGAAGAGCCTTGATGTTGTCACTTCTTTGTGTGGGAACATCAAAGTCACGTCGACGCGTGTATTCCCTTGTATCTGCGTTTGTTAAAATTTCTGGGAGTCGTGTTGCCAGAAAACACATCCAAGGCAGCACCGCGCAAGCTGCTCCTGGCAAATTCGTTCGGCCCAGTAATAAAATGTAGGAATATAAGCTCTGAAACATCACAGGGCTCAACATTCACAGTAAAGGTTTCCTTCGAAAAGGAGTACATTTACCCACCACTTTATGGATCTAGAAACAGTACTGATGCACATTAGCGGTTTGGTGAAAATTCATAATTGTTTATTGTTAATCATGAGCCATGCCTTAGTCGTTACGGCACACAGCTGCTGAACTGAGGAATGTGGTTTCGATTCCACCCATAAAGGTCACAATTCGATGAAGGCTGGACGCCTGCAGCGTACTTTGTGATGACGAAACAAGGTAAATAACAACATGTGGGGGAAATCGTCCTAAACCCTTAACTAAGGTAGGCCTCAAAGTGAAAGCGTAGCTCTTGTGCGAGAAACTCCAGTACTTATGAAACACGTCTGATCCTGCATGTTATGGAAATAATTTCATGAGATGAAATGAAGTGGTAGCAGCCTATGCCGTATTTTTCACTTTGAGCTCAGCATTACAAAACGAATTAATGTGCTTCTGTAAGCTGAGCAGTTTTAGAAATGTGTGCACATACCAAACGTCGTTGCATGAGATAATGTTGGAAATTGTTTCATGCGATGCTTTGCCACAGAGAAGTCACAATATTTTTGTCATGACCTTCGAATCGCGTTCGTCCTACAATCATGCACCCCTATGCCAATGCCGGTGCGTATGTAGGTAAAAAGACGACCGTCAGTGCGTTCATCAGCTGGCAAGAAATATCAGCACCATCATGCGCATCAAATGCGTTCTTCGTGTGGCAGCGTCTTGTCAGCTAGAAGTGAATTCTGCCATTCGCTCGCCCATCATGATTTACCCGCTGCCGCAATTCTACGAAGACAACAACGTAAAGCTGCTGCGCCAAAAGGGGTGTCTCCTGAACACCCCACGAGCGCTCGCACCACCTTGTGGCGGTGACTTCTGACCTCTCGGGTCGCCTAAAGGAAATGGTGATATGTAGACGTCAAGTTGAGGTTACTGCTCCACCGGCATTGACCACCCACGAGCCGCAACACTGCTACGCAATGCATTAAATCACATGCCCCATGTGTGGCGCTCCTACATCTATGGTGCGCATGACACAAATGCGGTGGTCGTGCCCTGGTATTGAGAAAGTACGACTTCGTCACCGTTGCAATCCCCCTCCAGACTTATAACTGAAGATACAAGGGCCATTCCGGTGCACGAATCTTTGTTCAACTTTATGTGCGGGCTCTCTATGTTAGTTTACGTGTGACACACCTTTCCTGTTATCTATCTATCTATCTATCTATCTATCTATCTATCTATCTATCTATCTATCTATCTATCTATCTATCTATCATCTATCTATCATCTATCTATCTAACTATCATCTATCTATCTATCATCTATCTATATCATTTATCTATCTATCTATCATCTATCTATCTTCTATCTATCTATCATCTATCTGTTATTTATCTATCTATCTATCGTCTATCTATCTATCTATCATCTATCTATTTATCTATCTATCTATCTATCTATCTATCTATCTATCTACGAAATGGTTGCGCCAAGACGTATGTGAATAGATAAAATGAATTTCGCTCTTTAAGAAATACTTCACATTTAATATTATGCATCATCCAGCGTAGCACAAAAGCAAACTATGGTAATAACACATACTTGACATCTTGCTTGCTACCTTGCTCATACAAAGAAAAAAAATGTCGCTTGCCTGCTGTGTGTTGTAATAAGAGTACTTATACGCAAGGGATAATACTCCACGAAGAAATGTGTTGCGTTGGCCGAGCCATGTATCTTTGCGTCTCGGGTAAACCTGCACCTTGCTTGTAGCGTGTTCGATTGACGTTAGGGTGTCGTTCGTGCAAACTTATCCAGCATCAGCTGTGTCAGCGTGTGGCTACCACAGTAACAATGTAAAGAAACAAATTAGTTTATGAAACGTACGAATTTTCTGTTTGTATTTTGTTTGGCCTGTCTCTATGGTGCATAACGAAAGCAGGGTTCACATAGGTACAGTCTGACACATATCTGTAACTTCACTCAGGCACAGTTTTCATTAAAAGGGTCACTCAGCACCGCATGTGTAAAGAAGAGGGAGTGATTTTCTCCTCTCCTTCATACAAACGATGCATCTTCCTCGCCCCTTAGTTCTTGAATGCGAGTGAACAATATCAGCACTAAGCGCTAGAGCCTATCAGGATTTTGTGCTTCTCGGCTGCACGCTGTTAGCGCCGCTTGCGCAGTTGTAAACACAAAAAAATGAAGTCTGATCGGTTGATTGTGCAGAACATTCATGCGAGACAAAGAACAACGGATGGGCGATTGAATGGCAAAGCAGTGCAGGAGACAAATCACATGTGATAATTCTCGTATATCAACGAATCGAGAGCATGTACGCTGTAGACGCCACGGAAACTACTGCCTACGCCGCAGTAGTGCACCAAGAAGGAAGAGAAATGTCAAGAAGAAATATTGCGCTCTATTTTCGTATATTGGGTGTCTGGTGAGTGGCCCTTTAACGTATGACGCTAAACTGTCTATCGTTGTGAGTCGGTACTTGCGCGCGCATCCGCAACGAATTTATCAAGGTGCAGCCACGAAGCGGATGCTGTAAAGTAAAAGAACTTGTTGTTCGGCTAATTGGTACATTTCAAAAAGTTGCGCATGTCGTCTCGTGTGGTTGTGACGCACAATTCTCTGAGTCGAAGATTCTAGGCAGAGGCGCAAGTAAAACTGCACGTGAAGTGTTTGAGGCCTTTCTATTGAAAAAAAAAAATACCGATCACTGTGAAAGCGCCCATTCGCTATCATACGCTACTGACTAGAATACGCGTTACCACGCGTATTCTAGTTTATCGCTCTGAGGCAATGACATTGATTAACTGTATGCATTGATAATGTAGGCTGTTGGCCTTCCATGGTGTTAGTACGCACATGTATCATACATATGCTCAAGCCTTCGAGCTATGTATAAATCAGTTGGAAGTGAGCGCTGTGTATGTTTGATGCCTGGGCACGTGCGTGTATGAGTGATGGTGTCGTGTGTTCGCGCTCGAATTTACTTTTTGGAGCGTATGATGTAAAGCTCTTACAACTGCGAAGCCAATCACTCACCCACCCTCAAAGGCATTTATCTTGATTCGCGGCTTTACTGCAAGTGTTAACGCTGCCATGGTCAATGGTACCGAAAATGTCATTTTTATGACATGTTATGAGGCAGCTTACGAAGCCCGCCACATTTGCTGAAGAAGAACCAAACATTACGCCAAAACTAAACTCATAAAAGGAAAACAGCCCCGCCAAGAAAAGTGGCATGGTTTATTATGAATTTACCTGAAACGACTCAAAGGGAAAAGCCATCTACTTCTTTTCTGTCGATGCGGAAAATGCTTTTCCTTCACGTTCCATTACGAAAGCTTTACGTTCCTAATAGGATTTTGAAGCACCACTGAAATCAGAGGCAATTAAAGGTTTCCGAGTTCCACGTGGCTTGGCAAAGCCTCCAGAATCACCCAATCTTGGTCCAGGAGATGATGTGATGCAATGATGTCACAACCGCATCATTAGGCTACGTGAAGTCATAGTGACGTCAAGACGATGTAACGACATTTGTGTCTGCTGTGCCGTCGTGATGAGGTACTAGGGTGTCGTAATCACGAGATTATCTTAAGGCCTTGAGAAGCATTAGTGGCTCACCTAGCACGGCCATGTCCTTCTGGCCGCCGACAGTGTCGAAGGAAGGAGCCTCCGCAGACACTTCGCACCGGTACGTACCGGCGCTGTGTAGGTTCACGTTACGCAGATACACCGACGTCCGCCCCGATCGTGCCAACTGCATTTATGAATGGGTGACCAGGAGAACAATCACAATTCACGAATCACAGCTTCTATAAGCATAAAAATAGCAGGGTTAACTTTAGGGCTCGTTTTCTCTATAAGACACAATATTAATGAGAACTAACTGACAGTTATGCCAACGAAAGCACAAGGAATATTGTTAGTGATTACACTGTAGGGTAGGGTGGGGTAAAGTCCACATGGGTCAAAACGCGACATTTTGACTTTGCCGGTCTTTGCAGCTAATACAAAAAAAAAAAACTTCTGTGTGTCTTCCTTCGACCAGTAAATGTTGGTGCTTGTCTATCTTTTCACGTGTAAAAGTTGATGATTGCGCACCACGTTCACGCGGAAAAAATTGTGCAGGTGGTGTCAGTGTGTTCGTGACTCGTCAAAAAGCATCGATATTCTGCTCGCACAAATTTTCGGATCCGTGCATGACGCTACTCCTGTGTCATTACAGCAACCTAAATATCTATTTTGTTACTTTAGACTACGAGCTGCATAACACCAAAAACTTTAGTTCGTTTTGTTCGTTTTGTTCGTTTTGGGACTAAGCGAATTTTTTTTTTCAGTTCTCGCATGTGAGATGGGCAAAACGCAAAAAAAAGAGGCATTCAGTGGCCTTGAGAGAGTGTCTTGTGAATTCAAGCATTAACTTTCACTCATTATATGTTATATTTCTTCGTTTACCAGGACTCTGGCATACGAGAAATTGTCGTATAGAGCTTCTTGGGAGGAAAACTACATAAAAAGCACCGACTGCCATTCAAGGCATGACTCCTCCATTCGCGCTGCACTAAAGTTGTTTCGTGTTCCCAAGGATGCCCAAAATATACGCATAAAAAAAGCTAGAATCTCTAAATAAAGTCATTCACAAACATGTCTTGAATGAATGAATGAATGAATTTAATTTAAAGTCCAGCAGTTTTACCGGGCAAGGTGGGAGAAGAAGGTATTGACCCCTGCCCTTTCCCACTCTTCATTGATTATGATGGTGGTGCCTCAGGTGATATGTCTCGGGATAGAATTTTAACGAAGTTTCTCCAATGCGGTAATTAAAAAAACAAGCACTAGGAAATCTGAATCTAGCACACTTTTGATTTTATTACTTAGAAAATCTGACGAACGATGTTGAATGCCACTAAACGCCTGAGGAGTTCTGCATCAAACAGCAAAAGCAGATAAAGAAAATACGTGAAAGAATATTTAGCTTCGATTTGTTGAACATTCCAGTGAGGTACAAGCGCTTAAGATAAGATAACGTTATCACAAAGTAAGACTGGCGCGGCGTTTTATCTGCAAGGAGCTTTGGAGCTACACAACACGGCGTTCTGTCTAGATTCAATGCGTGAAGTCGAAAGATTGGGCTCCTTAAGACTGCATGAGGACCCACACAGGAAATTTGAAGTCATTTTTGCTCACAAACTGAAGCAATATTTTTTTTCACGCATTCTCGTTTCTCCCTAGAAGTTGGGGCAAAATTAGAGATCTGGGCCATTTTTCATTGATTTTTAAATGATTTTAGTGGTGGTAACGTGGCCATAATTCTGTAGGACATACCTTACCTACTACCTAAAAGAGTCTTTTTTGCATTAATGCTTCATTGTAAGGAGGAAAATAAAAATAAATATACTGCTTTTATCCCACCGTACTCCAATTGTCAACAGAAAAAGTGAACCAAACAATAACCTGCGGCCATGAGGCACAAAACTTGTGACCTTCCAATATCTTCGAGTTTATAAGCGTACGATTTAAACACGTCATTTTTATTCGGACGCAGCAATGATTGTTGCATTAAAACAAAAGCACCCTTGTACCTGTTCAACGAAAGGCCTAAAACTGAATTATACTATGCGCATGTTTAATTATCATACATGGGTGCGCTGCCACGGCTTCAGAAGCGTAGCTTCTCTGGTGAAACATGAGACGTATATTGCAGCTCCCATAAAAACGTCATTAAGAAGTTTTCGTCTTTTTTAGCATTGTCTACCTGTTAAAAGTTATAATTAACCTATTTTATGTTTAGGTAAGTTTTCATAGTGGCTTTGTTTCTGCTACTTTCAATTCTAGGTATTGCGCGTATTTTTATGCAATTAAATAACACTCATTATTCTTCTGCACGAATTGTAAGGGATGCCTGAATGCACGTCAATTGAACGAAGCTTCATAATTGATACAACTTTTATTAAATGGCAATGACAACAAAAAAAGAAATAAGGATGCATTTAAGTTCATTTACGGTAATGTCGACTTGTTCGATCAGCCTGCTTTTTTTTTTTTACAAGAGTAAAATCAACATTGCGAAAGCAGTCTTGCCGTTCTCTCATAGCTGAACTAATGATGATCTGGCATTGTATTCATGTGCTTTTCCTTCCCTCTTTCTCTCTCTTATTTCCGTCTTGCCCTATCCACACATGTACGGTAGCAAACTTGACATAAGGTAGTTAATTTTTCTACGTTTCTTACATTCCTTCCCTGCCTGGCAATGCATGCCGTAAAAGACAGAGCTGACCTCTATAACAATGCGAAATTTTATACTTGGTACAATTATTTAACGCCTTAGGGTTTAGATTACAGTTAATGCAGCCTGCATCACAATTAACGCTAAATATATATTGCTCTATAGACACTTGTAAGACACTTCCTTCTTGGCAGCGTAAAATCACAAGAAATGAAATATTCCAATGAGATCACGCACATTGGATGGCGGAAGCGTCACTTCAGCTCGTCTGTACATGGCTCCTTAGCCTGTGCCTTGCGCGATCATTGAAAGTGACAGTGATTAGTTTCAAAGTGACAGGAAATCACAGTGCCATGAATGATATTAAAGATGACGTGCTCCAAGATTCTTTTCTTGAAACCGAGCTTATGCAGTAGTTGCAGTGAGTGCGAAAATGAAAAGCTAAGAGCACAGCGTGCATAGAGGAATCAAGAAACGACCAGTTTTCTGCCTTATATATTACATGCCTTGAGTAGTTATATAATATTCCTCAATGTCCACCAACACGTCATCTACGTACTGTAGATCACTCTCTCTCTCCATTCATTGCAATTATGTTACCTTCATGATCCAGTTGATTTTGAATCGGTCAATTTATTTGCGAGCACCAGCCTTACTATATGTGTTTTTACTACTGCTACGTCTATGTGAGCCTCAATCTCTCCCGACTAACATTCTTCTTTCACTCTTTAAGTCATGTGCGAGCTTTGATCGAACTAAAAAGCGATCACCTTTTCTTTTTCTACCTGAATGTCCCGCATCTTTCAGTACACTCAAGTCGGCACAGCGTGCAAATTATTTTCTTTAGTTCTTGTTAAACTGTTAGGGTTCCTTTTATGCACTTTCTCTTTTTTTTGCGCTAACCAACATCCCCAGATTACACTAAATATCTCAGCGATTCCCTACTGCCAATATACTACCATTTCTATATTTATTTTTGTAATGAGTGATACCACGTAAAAGGATCCCCAGTAATCGAACGCCGATTAGGATGATTAGGTTGAAGCCGAACTGAAAGCCGCAGCTTTTTTCAAAATAAGATATCAGATGTTAAAGAAGATGGTGCAAGTTTTGATTTTACCATACGACTTGTCCTTCTCAGAATGCCGGTGAAGTGGTGCAATGGCTTGGATTGAACCACAACTACACGTAGAGCTACGCTACATTTCATTGTAGTTGTTATTACGATGCCCACAAAGAAGGTTACGCTTAAACTGAGGAGGACGCAGTCAGCGGTGGCAAGGTAAGTCTTAAGTTTAACCTTGACGTGCAAGAACAGAGGAGAGTGGGTCAGGCGACAAACGGGTGTTGAGGACGTCTCGGCCAAAATGAAGAAAAAGATATGGACCGGGGGAAGGGCACGTAGTGCGTATGCAAGATGGCATCATACACTTAAAAATTACCTGTGATTCCTAAAGGTAACAAACAGGATTCAAAGAGATGGCAGCCAAACCAGGGGGAGAAAAATAGTTAGGTGGGCTGGTTACATTTGGAAGTTTGCGGTTACAACGTGGGCGCAGCCAGCAAAGGACCGGAATGATTGGCACAACATGCGAGAGGCCTTCGCCTGGCAGAGATCGCAGTCAGGCTGCTTCTGCTAAAATCTCGAGAAATAACTAAAGTAGCTCCATTCGTGTCAGTGTGCAGGTTTCCTCCTCTTTCCTGTGCTTGGTTGTGCAAGCGTCATCTTGTCCGTTCGCTGTCACGTGTTCTTTTTTTTTTTGCTTGTGCCACGGCCACCGAAGCAAGCGCACGCTCCACGACGACACCGGATTACCCTTTCCCGTGAGAGAGTATGCCTGTGTCCACAGTTTTGCGGCGGACACCATAGAGACAGCTATTAAAATAGATTCATGTGTTTCTCTCAGTCGCCACTAGTGCTTCTTCGTACGCGCTCTGATTTGCATATCACGCAACATGTCACACCGTCCCGTGTCTCTGTGTCACACACTTACTAAGCAATGAAAGGCACCTACGTTTGCCTGTGTTGCAGTGTTTTCACCTGTAGATATGTTCACTATTACCCAATCACGAAAGAAAGCCTTACACTAAAATAAAAAAGAATTACAAAACACTCAAGGGTAAATCAGTTTGTTCCTCAATAGCATTTGGACTTTCACTGAAAGTCCTATGTGTCATCATGGTAACCACTACTTGTACCCTCCCTGTCCTTCCTCATTTATTCCTTCTCCTCCTACTTGTACCATTATGTTGCTCTCATTAGACCTGGTTGAAAACAAGCCCACACTGACCAATCAGTAATGTGCGTTTGTGCTTCTCTTTCTCTATGGTTTCTTTTCCAATCTCCTCGCTCTATCTCTTGCCTCAGTGTACTGGCCGCGAGATCGAGTAGAGTCGTTGCCTGGCGGCAACTGACCAAAATGGTGAAGTGTGGATTGCTCCTCGCGTGGTCTGCTAGCCATGTCATGTTTCTCTGTGCACATACGTCAGGCACGTTCTCAAGGTGTGGTTTGTTCGGTCATGTCTGCGCGAGTGTTACTGTTTTTACTAGACTTGTGCGAATAGTGAATTTTCGGTTCGAAGCGAATTCTAAGCAAATAGTGATTTTGATCGAATAATTTCGAATCGAAATCGCATGGTATGTATGACATATAAAAAAAAGAATATTTATTACGACCTAACTAACCTGCACAGCGTTTCTGTTGAATTGAAATAGGGGCTCACGCAAATGCTTTTTTTTTTTCCTTTCAAGAAAAGTCGAAACAACCTTGAGTAGCAGTTTCAGTGGGATACGCGTGATAACCTCTAAGGTACTTGAAGTCTTAAAATTTATTACACTTGGATCATGTAAGCCGTCTTAACAAGCTTAATAAAATGAAGAATTGATTTGAGGGCAACATGTTTCTTTAAAGGGGCCCTGCAACACTTTTTCAAATAGCCATGTAGCCAGTAACCTTGCTTGTTGCCTCACAAATGTACCGCCACAAAGTTTATTGAATCAGGCCAGTACGAGCAGAGTTCCAAAAATTTGTCGCACGCTGCAATTGCATTCTCTGTTCTCGTCCCGACGAAATTGCTGGAATGTGAGCAGGGGGGAATGGCACGACAAAAGAAAATACTTCACACGAACCTCGTGACCTTGAGCACATCATTTTTTTTTGTGAATACGCGGCTTTTCAGTGCGACCACGCACGTACTCGTGGACAAGCGCAGGCCCCGGTAACGACGAGTGCGCCGTACTCAAGTCAGTCAATGCCTGTGACCAGAGCCGTATAATCCTTCTTGGCTGTGACAATTAATTTCTCAGCTTGTAGTGTCATTTGCCAAAGAAAAAAGAGCAATTTTTAGCTCTGAAAGTTTATTGTGAATTACAGAATACGTGCTGTACTACAATATTTTCCTTGCGTGTTCTCGGTAGCCTCGACTACCGATCGGCAGCGTTTTCTGGCCATGTTCAATAAATGTTGCGGGTCCCTTTTAAATTTGAAGGAGGGCTTCACGGCAAAACAAATTTTTTTCTAAATAATTGTTTTCACTGGTTAGCAGTTCTACATTGAAGTGAAACCACTTTTACAAGCGGTGACTTGCGGAATAATATACACCTATTTGTTCATTGCGAATACTTCTAAAATATTCGATAATAAGTTTAAATCAAAGCGGATTCGAATACTGAACTAATCGTTCGAATATTCGAAGCATTCGAACATTCGCACAAGCCTAGTTTTTACGTATGCCTGAAACGACGTACGAAATCATTTGGTCTTCCTCGGCTGCTAATGCATTGTAGTGAGATCGGCGAGTGCAAGTTTCAAGAGTGTTGTTCATTTTCGTCGTACTCTCCATTCACCAGAATAATTTCAGAGTGGGTGCCGCTTTCTCTTTCAAGAACATTCACAAAATGCTCTTGGCATCCTCCCAATCATGAGGACTAATAAATGCTGTGTGAGTGCAGCGTGTTCTTACGAATCGGTTGTAAAAAAAAAAGGCTCTAGGTTATGCACTGGCGCGCTGTTGGTAAGTGTACCACAACCGCACTGTACTTTATCGATCATACGAGGAGCCTTAGTTTTGTTTATCTGGCAGTGGTACCACTGCATAAAAATATTACTATCACATAAACTGTGAGACTTCTGTACTTACACTGTATTTAAACCAAAGTTGCCGTTCGCAACCGTTTGCTTGGCTTTTAAAACGCTTTAAAGCACCCAGACGTTGAAATTTATTTAAGACGGCATGCCTTATATATATTGTATATATTCACTGAAAATTTCATCTTTTTTGCATTGTTTCCAGCGTTTGCGTGGCATTGTTAGTGACCGATAGAAAGCAGTGGCAATTTTTTAACTGAAAAAAAAAACATGCTTGTCCTATATACCAAGCCTTTGTTGTAGCACCGTCATGCACGTAATTTATTGATGAAAGCTTTTTGCTGAACTCATATATAAGAGTTTTACTGGTGCAAGAACATGTGCGTACACGGGGTAAACGCAGTGTAGCGCTAAGCGCCGCCAGCCACTAAGCTTTCTTGACTAGACTTATCGACTGTCCCACATTCTACGGTGAACAGAATGAGAGAAAAAAAATCACATGCCTATAAGGTGTGAATGGTGGTACTGATCAAATCGCACAGGTATGCGGGCTTTCTACGATCTTTCTTTCTCTCTTTTTTGTAGTATGCAGATGACAAAGATGCAAATAAAGGTAGTTCAGTCACGCTACAGCTGCGTGTAGCAAACGGAACACAAGCTAACCACGTACAAACAACACAGCAAAGGCGTGATTTAGTTCGAAAGCGTCTCGAGAGTCACCCAGGGCGAGCATCCCTAACAAAGGCAGAATGCGCTGTACTCGCGGATAATGTTAACCTTGCATAGTTGTCGTACACCGATTTAGTTAAGAAGAGCGTAGAAGTTAGCAGGCAACTGTAGTCAACGCATTTTATCCGCCCACAATCGGCCCAAACCGCACTCAACGGAGCATTGCTGCGTGTATTTGTATACGCGCCGGCGACCCTCTATCAACACCTGCGCGGTGATGGTGCTGCCATCTATAGCCCAATCTCGCCGCGCATAGGCTAGAACGCGCGTTCTATTTTCTTTATTATGGAATGAGTTTACATCCCTGTCCTTCCTTTCTTTTCTGTTTCTTCCTTTTGGGCTTCCTGACGGGACTGGCGCAGCGCGTCAATAACATTTCAGCGAAAGCATTAGCCTTTGCGACGCTGTGCGTGCTGGAATGACCGTGTAATACGCACGTCCACGTCAACGCCTGGCAGAGGCAGGAACTGTCCCGGTGGCCAGTCATTCGGCACGAAGCGGTAGAACTCCACGTCGTTTTTGTACCACTTGACCGAGTAGAGTCGATCGCCATTGAGCTCGTATATGCAGCTTAGGCCCACTGTCTCGCCCAGCGTGGTCGGGGACGGGATGTCCACGTTGACCAGCTTCACGGCGGAGACTGTGGTCACGAAGGCTGCGCAAGGAATCGCACACTGTCATTCAGGAAGCCTTCAAACGGTGGATCAACATGGCATTGTGTCATGCGCTTTAAGCAGGACACATCTGAAAAAAGCTGATACATTTGGTACCGGATAAGCTCTTTTCTAATTGTCACACAAGGTCAAAAGCTAGCAAATGTCCGACTTTTTTCGTTGAACAAAGTTGTAACATACACCAAAGTATGTTGCATGAGAACATATTAGCATTCTTTCATTGGTGAGAGCTATTCAAGGAATATACTCTTAAAAACTGAGCGCTAGCCCAAATGAGAAGATTAAAAAAGAATAATATTCAATTAAACGTTTGGAAACCCCTAAGAAATCGTTTTTTTAAATGGAGCGACTGTACGCCCTTATGTAGTGATTAAACTGCAAAATTGCAGCTTACACTGCAAGTTGCGAACCATACGCGTTTATAAACAATCTATTACATAGTTTTCTTTAGCTCCTTATTCTAGCGAAGGCTCATTGCTTCCACAAAATTTGTTCTAGCCACATGATGTTTCTTGAAACCCTTGAGCGTACCTTTTATAACTTGAAAAAAAAATTATGTGTCGGGTTAGCTCTGGATGCCATTGCTAGCGCTGCCTCACAAAACTGAAACGTAACTTTGCAATATTATTTGTTGAGACCTTTCACCTTACACTTCTCAAATGATTGCCATGCCGAATCAATTCCTATAAAAAGCACACATGTTGTAAAATGTTTCCAGGCTTTTGTACCATCTAATCTTGTGCATTCGGGACCTTGAACCATTTTACCGCCCTTTTTGTGATGCAAGGGCAGATTTTTTACATGGATAACTGCACTTTATTTTCATTTGATTAGCATTATGAGCAAGGTAGAAAGAAAATGGCTTCTGCTTTACTTGTAGCAATGCTTCACAGCTGAAAAATTCTTCTATGTCTACAGAATGAATAATTGTACGACAACCTTCATAAGGAACATAATTTTGCTCTGCGAAGAAACCGCAAACCTTGCAGCGGAAGCCAAAGCGTCTAGTGCCTTCTACCAGAATATGCAACTTAAAGAAACTTGCAGTCTCTAACGCGAAAAACATTTCTGCGATTTAAGATTGCTGTCCTCCAAGCGTTGTTGATGACGATCCTTAAAACTTTATTTTAGACCAAAAAAGACGCAGGGGAGACCCCGCGTCACCCGAAAAATTCCACGTAGGCACCGTCAAACCGAGCTTGGTGGTCCATACGTGCACGGGCACTGTGGGCCGAATGTGCAGTGTTTATCTCTCTTCCCTCTCTCTTCTCTATCTTTCATCTCCCCATCCCCCTCCCATGCGCAAGGTAGCAAACCGGCTGCCTATAGGCTGGTTAACCTCCCTGCCGTTCTTTTCCTCCTATTTTCTTTTTTTTCCTTCCTGGTCGGCCTGAGTTTGGTTTGGTGGTTAAGTTCGGGGCTGCGTAACATCGCTGTCCACCTGTCCTTGCTGAAGGCGGAGCTGGTGGCTTTACATTGCCACAACACATGGTTGAGTGTTGCTAATTGTTTCCTTGCCTGGTATTACCATGATTTAGCATTTTCAGCTGCGGGCTACTAACTGAAAATTGCCCTTCGCCCCTCCACCCATCTGTTGTGCTTTGATGACGCTCTGAGGCTCCGTCGGTAATTATGCATTGTATGCATTCATTTGCTAGTGATCGACACTGATTGATTGATTGATTGATTAATAATTTATTGATTGATTGATTGATTGATTGATCCCGTGCTTGGTAGCGCAAGAACAGAGGAGAGAAGGAGCCTGCACATTGACACGAAGGGCACTATATAAATATATATATTTATATATATATACTTTAGTTATTCCTAGATACTTTAGCAGAAGCAGCTTGACTGCGCCTACTGCAGGGCAAGGCCTCTCCCATGTAATTTTTGTTTCCTTCACAACTTGCACAACAACAATTTGCTTGGGCACCGTGTCGCTTCAGGTTACTTAATCGAAACTCTACCATTTTATTCTTCTATGTACGCAGTACAAAGAAACGTTACAAATTTCACTGAGGACTACGACACACCGTAATGAAACACCGAGCGCAACATCGCTTGGGGGCAGTGCCAACTGTGTTCGATGTTCAGGCTTCCGCAGATTGTAGCAATGTAACGTCGGTTATATAATGCCTGCGAACAAACAGAGAGTATTATTGAGGTCCTGAGGAACTGCGTTTTGACGGCCCTCCGCCTTCCGAACAATTTGGTTCGATGTCGGGTAAGGGAAGCCAGCCGCAGTGCACGCGGCAGTCCTGCATGCGTACGAGCTCCGACCCAGGGGCTGGCGCGTGACCAAGGAAGAAAGCGACGTGAGAGGCCAGTGGATCGGGATTTGAACAGTCTCCGCGTGCACTCCTTTTCATCCTAGTTCGTTCTATCGGTTATGCCGGCGCCGACAACGCCAATGGTAACGTAACTCATTGCAGCAATGAGTGATTAAGAGCTGCGTTCTAGAGAAGCGTTCAAAAATTTGTCTGTCTTCGTGGGTATCGTAAGGCTTACGATCCTTCGAAACTCACCATGTAGCCAGGCGATGAGGATTCCTCGTGCGACAGCCTTAGCGCCCGTGGGCGTCTGGCAAGAGCCCGCCATGACATCAGATCGGCCTGCGCCTGGCGCCACGTTCCTTCTCCCCCTCCTTCATGCAAGGACCTCGCCTTCTCCTCCCGTGTTCCGCCACAGGATCCCGACCTCTCCCCGCTGAAACAAAGAGGAAAATGACCGTCAGGGCTTTAGTAAAACTAGTTGCCGTAGTTCGTGTCTACCGAAGTATACGAGCGTGCACTCGGTCTTTGTGTGCAGTGCACATTGGTACTAAGCAATCTTTAGGGTATTTCGCTAACCCGCGCCGCTGTTTCTGAGCAGAAATACCCGCTCATTTCGTTCCATACCCTCAATAAAACTGGCACGCTCTTCTGCCACCTCTCCTCTTGGCTTTAAATACTCCACCTTCAGCCACACAAGTACCAAATCACAATTTTTGCTAAGTCGCCATAACACTGTTGAACACAGGTGCGTTTTATTCACGGACCTTGACAGAAATGCTAAAACTTCTAAAACATATGAAATCGGCTAAGCAACTGGTTAGGTATCGTAGAGTGGCGAATAATATGTACACTAAACACAATAATATAAAAAGATACAAGATAATAGGTGAAAATTCTAAAGGGATAATCAAAAGGCATTTGCGTAGGTATATATCTTTTTTTGTTGGATATTTTTTTCTCGATCCCAAACGTTCACTGCTACCAAAATCCAGCAGGGGCACTGGGAAGGCCCTGTATGCTAATGCAATTCATTTTACACTTATGGCTGTAAAAGCTCTTTTTAAAAGAAATATAATCCACATTATCTACGTTCTGGCGCACTCAAACATGTTTGCACTATTTATGCACATGAACTCGACGCAACACCTGCCTCGTTCTTTTTGCTTTTTATGTTTCACATTCATATTTTCCAGTTCTAACAATGTTTTTATATTCATTCAAACCTCTTTAAAACACCTATTTGAGATGTCGCACTGCAATTGGCAGCCCCGACATTACAAATTACGTGGCTTCAAGTTTTTTTTTATGTCTGTAATTTTAAAACTCTAGTGCTCTGTACGCAGCCTAATTCCGTAATTATCTTTGTGGGTTCTTTTTTTTTTTACTAAACAATCAGTAGCGGCGAGAATCAGTTAGGTGCAGCGAAGATGCATTGCAGGTTCTGTCAATATAGTGAAGGTAGTTATTGCGTTATATGCACAACAGAAAAGAGGACTGGATTGACTTTTACGCAAGTCAAACTAGCTTAGCCTTTCTTTATTATTAATCACCCTGAATTATTATGGTGAAGACCTAAGCATTTTGGAGGCCTAACTGCGGTATTGTAGCACAAGAATGCAAGTCCGCTCAACGAAGTATAACAGCAGTTATCGCTGTTTCTGGACAAATTGGGTTAGAAAATGGTCACGTTTTTTTTTCCTTCAACTTAATCCTAACCATCCTAAATAGCAACTCATCGTTAGCGCTTCCAGCATTAGTATATCTCGGTGGCCAGGACTCTGCCATGATGAATAACTAATTGATTTTCAAAACGCAGTTAATGAATTAGGTAACGTTTCGTTTATCATTAGTCTCGAAACAAACGTAAAACGTCAACCTATTCTAGGATTTCATCAAGCCACTGCGAGCAGCAGAATAATTTTTGTTGCTGAGGCATGGAGACGTCGAGTACATTGACAGAGAAATAAAGAAAAGCAATGGAAAGGAGGAGAGGTTAACCAGCTTGAATCCGGTTTGAATGCATTGGCTCTTTGAAATGTAGAGGCGCTGATGAGTTGGAGCAGGGATTACCAGACGAAGCTCTCATATGCCGCCTTGTCATAGTATTACTTGTATATCTGACTGTATGAGGTGCTGTTCATATCTTGGTTTGTGCTTTTTAGGGGCTCAAATGGGCGAAAACCTCTTCTTTGAGGGTCCCGTCTCGTTTTGTTTGTGCGTGTCTGTGCGAATTCTAATCTCCTTATTCTTCTTTTCGGCAGACATTGCGAAACAAGACGGTTCGCGTCGAATAAAAAAATAAAGGCATCCGAATTTCACAGTGCCCGATTTCTTTTATTCGACAGAATGTCTTCAATGCGACGACTCTTAATCCTGGACCAATTATTTTCGCAGCGGACACCATGTTAATGCAGTAATTTTTTTGTAAAAATTTATCTAACACTCTTGCAGTGGCAAACATCAAATTTATCTGATGGTGGGATCAACTCGCAATACGACGGAGTCTTTAGCTTCCTTAAAATTTCATCTCTGGCAGCTCGCCTAGGATATGAGGAGCTTACGGCAGCAACATTTTCACAGTATCCCTTTTTCGGTATTTTTGTGTGTACAACACCGACTGCGTTGTTGAACTATTTTTTACCTTTTCTTTGCGGGAGTGGTGATAATAAATGGAATATAATGATTAATTTTATTTTTTTCTGAGTCCAGCTATCAGAGGGTTACTGATACCCGCACTGTAGGAACGAAGCAAATTAGGAATCACTATCACTTTTTCGCTGCAGTCGCATTTCTCAAAATTTAAAACCACAACGTATTCGCGTATCGGTGGCACACTTTAAGGTTGGATAACTGTTCCCCATTGGAACAAACACATATGAAATAAAATGACATGCATATTAACCTAAGAAAGTTGCGACTTTTCTATAACTTACGGGAATGCAAATGCTGATTCGAAGAAACAATTGATGAATAAATTCTTCATGCAGCACGGGATATGCATGACGTACAACTAGAAGTCAAGCTGAAGCATATTTTCATTAGAAATTGATATTTTGATAAACTGTTCGTCATTCGGGCATAATGATATTTCTTTTGATGGTTTAGTTTATTTCACTCCGGTGTTATTCCTTCAGATACGTACGAGAACATGTGCTCTACATATCAAACATCTCGCTCTACTTTGATTCTGTTTCAGCCATCGTCTATCGTATTGATAACATATTCAGTCCCAAATGCTGATGCATTTCCCACTTTAACGTCGCAGCTGCTTAAGCCAGGCGGAGTAAAGGTAAGAGAGATCATTAATTGAGAGAAAGGCAGAGAGGTTCACCAGAATTGTAGCTTATGATTTGCTACCCTGAATTAAGGGGAGAGAGAGAATGGGAAGAAATAGAGAAGAAAAGCGAGAAGACAAGAACACGCGCGAGAAAAAAAACCAGAGAAGGGTTGCTACAGCCTATTTATAGGCCTATACCACGCAATAAGTTCAATAAGGCCTTAATTATATTTTCTATGCGAAAACAGATCGCGTTGGAATTTGGGCACTGACTGTTTTGACAAGGGTCTGTCGTCATGGCGAGCTAACGCAGCCACTAGCGGCAGTCTGTCCGCGCTGCAGCGAGGGCAGTGACAAAAAACGTGCCGCTTTTTCACAGCTGCATTGATCGCAATCAGCACTGTCTTTCATGTCGATTCGGAAGGCAGTATGCTTGGGGAAAGCAACACCAAGCCACCATCGGCAAAGCACCGTTTTCTTAAGCCGAGAGAGTCTGGATGGAAGCCGAAGTCGACAAGACTTGTCCAGCCTATGCAGTCGCGTGCGACGCGAACTTACTGTATTCCACAGGGATTTCGTACCTTCATTAGAATTGTGTCGTATTTTCGGGGCAGAAGCAGCCCTTGAGAATGGAATCGATTCTTGTACACCATCTTCGTGAACAGATCAAGCAGCTGTTTCGGCATGTTGTTTGCCCAATACGCCGCAGTTGTTGTTTGTCCAATACACTTGGAAGCCACTGAAACGCGATGTCGTGTCATTCGACGTACAGGTTGATTGATTGATTGACATGTGGGGTTTAACGTCCCAAAACCACCAAATGATTATGAGAGACGCCGTAGTGAAAGGCTCCGGACATTTTGACCACCTGGGGTTCTTTAACGTGCACCCAAATCTGAGCCTACGGGCCTACATCAACGAAGAGGTGGTGAAGCAGCTTGGGTGGGTATGCGGCACAAGGAGTTGGCATATTTGACTATCTAGTACGGTATGTCAGCGCGTTAAACGGAAACGAACATGAGAAAGAGAAGTAAAGAGAGAACAGATAGATAAATAAACCGATAAAAATAAGAAGAAAAGACAAGTGAAAAATATCAAAAATCGAAATGATTCGAAGGTAGAGAAAACAGATACAGAGAGAGAGATAGATAGAGAAAGCCAGTCATGAAAAAAAAAGACAGGTTGAAAAGACAGGCAAAACAAAAGGAGAAAGAAAGTATTAGAGAGAAAAGTATAGACATATAGAAATCAGCACAGAGAAAGAGTTAAAATAATCAAAGGTATACATAGACAAAGAAACAAATAGCTACGAAAGGATATAAAAAAACAGAGAACAAGAAACAAAGGAAAAAAGTGAAAGGAAACTTGAAGACTCGGCTCTTCCTTCAGGCTTGCCACCACTTGGGCAAAACTGCCATCATTTCATTTTCAGGCGTCCTCTTTTCCGTACAATGCGATTAAGACGAATATTTTTCTGACAAATCTGAAACCATGACTAAACATCGACCCCCAAGCAAGAGATGTAATTTGTATTGTCATCGTTCTTTTATTTATTTTTTAGATAACAGAAGGAGAAAAAGAACAACGAGAGAGAAAGCAGGGAGGTTAACCAAGCATATGCTAGGTTTGCTACCCTACGCTGGGGGAATAGGAAGGGGGAGTATAAAGATAAGAGAGAGAGAAAAGAGAAGAGAAAGAGACAAAAAAAAAGGATTTTCAGTCAATGGGCTGATTCGTATGCAGTGGTGGCACTATGGAAACCCTAAAGGTGTTTACATAGGCCCGTAGTCCTCAAACGACTACAGGTCTATGTAGTCGACTACAAAAAAAAAAAGACGACCAGAAAAAGCACAAACCTGGTACAAGAAAACATAGGAATCAAGTGAGGCATGAGTTCAATGCAAGATAAAAGCATGACGATAATTATGATGGGGCGTTTCACGTCCCAAAACCACCAGATGATTAGGAGAGACGTCGTAGTTGCAGGGCTCCGGAAATTTCGAGCACCCAAATCTTAATATATAGGCTTGATGGTGTGAAAGATGCCGGAACACGCTGTGTTGCTAAGAAGAACGTTTCGAAAATTGGTTTCGTTTTCTTTTTTCATAGAAGCAACTGCTTCCTTAACGAAGACAAGAGAACGTTTCG